ACACGCGTATGAATAAGAATTTACTTTCCACCCGTGTACGAATATGCTACTTTCCGCAGTAGCTGTCACAAAATGTCAAACACATAATTTCTATTTTGATCTATGTAATGTCCATATTAATACTAAAATCGATATGATTGTTAAATTATTGAAATTGTTGTAAATTAGATCCTAGATATTTATCTTTATCAATTATTATTAAAATAATTATAAAATATTATGTTTGCTCTTTATTCTGGTTAAATACATAACCGATTAGATCATTCAATTGACGCAAGAGCTATTAGCTCAGATGGTTAGAACGTCGAACTTATCAACTTTGCCATTTGAGACCTGGCGAGCGACCGCGTTCAAATCCTGGCGGTAGAATTTTTTTTTTAGTTTTTTTTTTGTATAGAAAATATGAAAATTGAATAAATACGATTTTTATTGATTATATTTTTAAATACATTTTAATTATTATCGTAATAATAACCTGGTTTTACATTTTTTAATGACATTATTTTGTGGTCGTAGAAAAAATATTGTACATTACTTGTGTAAAAAGTGATTTTCCACACTCGGCTTGTGCCTCGTGCGACAATATTTCCCACTCGTGTGAAAAATGTCACTTTCCACACTCGTAATATAATATACTATATCGATTCGCTATAAACGTCAGAGGCGTGTGATAAATTATCCTGTATAATGGGTTATTGTTATTGACAAATTATACTGAAACTAAAATAGTAGCTTTGTTCAACAAGAGTGGACATTGAGTTGTACAGTATATTTTTTCTACGACTCCCTGACGAAAGTCTATAATATTTTAGGTTATTAAGACAAATTAACTAATTTTAAAATAATTTATATTTCTACTAATTCATAAAATAAACAAATGAAAATTAGTCCCTTGTCCAGATTTGAACCCGGGCTATTCGCATGAAAGGCAGATGCTCTGACCTCAGCTCCACCGCCACCTGTATGATTTTGGTTTTAATACTCGTAATTAAACTAGTTTCATATAGTTTGATTAAAATTTAATTTTTTTTTTAAATTGTGGCCCAAATAAAAATATCGATTCTAAACAAAAATAACTCATTTAGTGTATATTTAATTTCAATAACTAAAAAATATACTGACAGTTAGTTTGACAGAATAATTGCCAAAATTTTAAAAATAATAGTAGTTTGGTATCCAAAATATGAACTGTGATTGGTGGATTTAATTTTTTTTGCAGTGTTCTCACTACTTAGAATAGATGTGAAATATATTCGTTCAGTTGAACGCAATAGCATACTTTTCCTGTTTTAATCTGTGCGTAGATAAGCTAATATCCCTGTAGGTGTAGAAAAATATGTTTTTTCTACGCCCACATTTCAATGTAGAAATCTAGAATAATAACTAGAAATACCTACGCAACGTAAATAAGTCGTTTTTAGTATTTACCCCATTAAAACTGCTATTTGCACCACTTCATAATATATTTCCTCAATTTATAATGTTTATACAACATAAATTATGTTTATAATAATATAAATACAAAATACGTCTTAGAAATAAGGATATCTGCATCTACTTGCCCCTTACTGTTATTATTTTGGATTGAACAATTTCACTGGTTCACGGCACAACGCTTTCCCCAAATGCATTTAAAAAAATGATGGGGATGCGAGTCAGAGCTCTAGTGACCGGTTCGAACAAGAAATTTTTTGTTTTTATATCACAAGCATCTCATAAACGCACATTTAAAAGTAATTGTAATTTACAATCAAATCGTAACTTTAATGGCACGCAGAAAATATCAATCTTTAAAAAATGTGCTTCCACTACTTATTTCAAACACATTCAAAAATTGCCGCCATCGTTTAGTTTATACCCCAACCGCCTTGAGGGCGCTAAAATCAGTTACGAAAATTAGAAATTAATTGTTCTGTCTATAAACAATGTATATAAAAAGTCTGTGATGTACCTATAAGTCGAGCGAGGAATGCTTTGAGGTCCCATGCAAGTATGATCTGATAAAGAGAACGAACAGAAGGATAGGAAGAACTGCGTTAAGATTTGTTATTAGAAGATCTATAGCCATCGGCACGGAACTTCAAATCATTCCTCGTACAATTTTTTAATTTCTTATTTGAAATTATAGTTCATTTTTATACATTCTAAGAGATTGGGCGTTTTTATTTTTTATGTTAGGATTGACTTGAATAGCCATTTAAACGGGATAGGTTGCTTTATTTTATTAACATAAAAGCATCCGCGATCACTTATTGCTTTCCAATAATACTATATCTAAAATCAAGTGAGCGTGAACATAAGAATACATTTCTTGCAATTCCATTAGATCTTACGTGAAGATCGTAAGGCGTATCATAATTGAAATAAGAAAGATTTATCATACAAGGATGGGCCCGGAAATAAATGGGCTTTCGTGTAGTCTACCAAGCATATAAATTACAAATCAAAGCGTTGTCTAGGATCTATTATTTATAATTTCTCTTACTTTTTCCAGTCTTTTCTCCAAACGACGTAATACGTAATTGCGGCATTATGTTTCACTGAATTAGGTACTCCATATTCCGGAAATCACATATATATACAACAATTTTTAAGATATTATAAAATCGCTGACCATTTGTATCGTTTTGTGGCGATGCATGCATTCAGATTAATTATTAACCCATACAAATGACCGGGACCAGATGATATATATCCTGTGGTTCTGCAACAGGCAGTAAAAGCACTGATCCCGTCTAGGCAGCATAAACATTAATCAAATACCTGAAAACAGAGTGGTAGATACCTAAGCCAACATATGCCCTGGCGAAGGCATACTGACCAATAACTCTGACGTCATTCCTATTGAAAGGATTATAAAAACTGATTGATTAGCATGTCCAGGCAAACAACTTTAATAGAAAGGCCATTTCAAACAAACCAACATGGCTATCGATCAGGAAAATCTTGTGAGTCTGCTCTGCAACATCTTGTAACCAAGATAGATGCGGGGATTTAGTAGCTAATAAATAATCCTCGGAACATTTTAATAAATAAAAACATGGAATAGAAGACACCATCTTTTGGTGGATAGAAGACGTGTTACGCGAACGGCAGATAAATGCACAAATGTTCAGTAAAACCATGCAGGTGAATATCCACAGGGATGTCCACAGGGATGTCCACAGGGAAGTGAAGTCCTCTCTAATCTACTGTAAAACCTGGTGGCAGATTAACTGCTGAGAACATTGAACAATCAAGGGACGTTATCCAATAGTTATCTTTATCCGAAGAAAAACCCAAAACACAGTCTTCGAACTTCTGCAAAGAGCTTTAAGGATGGCAGAACTGTGGTACCTACGTTAGGGAAAATTTTTTGGTTAACCCTAACAAGTTACCACAACTCATAATAGTCAGAACAAACGGTTCGACATCTTAGAAACCTTATTTGGAGGAAGCCTAAAATATCTGATTCTAATCTTAGATAGCAAACTTACTTATAACCAACACAAAAAATGGCCATTAAATGTAAAATGTAAAACCAAAAATAGTCCACTGGCTATATTCGGCATACATTGAGTAAACCCAAATGCGACATCACGGTCTCATTGGAAAATACACTACTGAATTTTAGGCTTAAGTTTGTGTAATTAAATTGTGTGTAAGAAAGTAAAAAAAATAAATTCAAAGAGCTAAGAAGCCTTAAAGCTCCTTCAAGTCAAAACTGGTCTTGAACTGTCATGGAATACTTAATATTGTGGCAACCCACAATAAAGAAAAACTAGCGTTCCCAGGGAATAAAGGTAACCAATGAAATGAAAAGGCTGATGGACTCGCCAATGAGAGAACGGGACAGGAACCTGTATTTGAGAAAAGCAAAATCTCTGTTTACATGCAATTTACAGGTGGATAACCACTAAACACCAAACTCACCGACAACAGATAAGAATATAAAGCTCTAGCTGGGCAGGACACATCCTTTTCGTTCTAGAATTAGAAATAGCGCCTCAGGAATACTTAGTACAAAACTATTCAAACATCTCCAGTATCCATCGTCCACCAGTACAGATGTTTCAGTACCGATAGATACATAAAAGTATATTGGTAACAGTTTAGCAGTGGAATCTCCGATCAAATAATATAGAATAATATAGTATAGATTAGCGCTAGGAGGCAATTTAGATTTTATATGGTGTGAATAATGTAACACTCGGAAATATTACAATAAACGTTCACTATGAATAGTAAAACCTCTTGACAGTTCAATTCAACTCATTCCATAACATAAAATCAATGTCACATATTTATTGCAATGTTAGTCGTTGTAAGATACCTCGCCGCAACAAAAGAAAGATGTTTTCCATATTCGATCCTGAATCTTCATCTTGTTATGTTATGTTATATGTATGTTGAAAATGGGGTGTTAATACACTGCGACCTAAAAGATCTATTGTGCCCCCTTCTATCGCCAATGCACTAAGGAAATGTATCAATGCCTATAACGACCCTTCCAATCCTATTTCCTCAAGGAAGTGTAGGATTTAAAGTGAATCAATCAATCAATCAATTTTCTCATCCTCGCTAACCTTGCTTCTCTCGTGCATGGCTTTTCTCTTCATTTTAGAAACCCTAAAGGGCACTCAAGAAGGGTTGGTTCTTGTATCGGTGTTTTTCTTTTGGTAGCCTGTTCTCTAAGAACATAATTTATCTGGGATATTTTATTTAGGTGCCAAATTGACATAAAATTATTATTAAGTATAAAATTGTAAACGAAAATTAATTATAATTTGATACTAAGGGCCAATCTTTTCACCTCTGAGTAAAGTTGAAAGTAACTGCTTGCTGATTAAACTATAGGACTATTGTTCATTAATATGTCAAGTTAAGTTACATGTAACTTTACTCAGATGTGAAAAGATAGGCCCTTAGTATATATTATTTAAATACCCAGTTAATATAAAATACTATTAGAATTAAAAACATAAATATTTGTTACTACAATGTTATTTTTTCTTTTTCAGCTTGTGCATGCGACCCCAATGGTTCCATATTTCTTACCTGTAATCAAACAACTGGAGCATGTTTTTGCAAACCACACTACGTTGGAATTGACTGTACTATTTGTGAGGTAAATAATTTTTTATTATTAACATTAGTTTGTGCAGCAAGAGTGTTTATGGACCAGCCACTCGAGTTGTGTAGTATATTTTTTCTACGGTCCACCAACGGGAATCTACAAATATTAAAAATAATTTTAGGTTATTAAGATAAAATAGCTAATTTAAAAATAATTTATGACTTTTACTTATATATAAAATAAATAAAATAAAAAACTAAAATTTAATTTGTCCCCATTCTAGATTTAAACCCGGGCCTTTCGCGTGAAAGGAAAGTGCTCTGACCTCCCACTACCGAGCCGCTTAAAATTTTCGTAATTGAATTCACTTCATATAGTTTTATTAAAATTAACGAATTATTTATAATTATAGAGAAAATAAAAATAGAATAGTAGTTTGTGCAACAAGAGTGGATATGATGGCCATATCGCACGAAGACGAAATTTGAGCACGACGCCGTACAGAGTGCTCAATCGTTTGAGTGCGATGTGGACAATCTACTCGAATTGGACAGTATATTTTTTCTACGACCCACTAACGAAAATTTACAAATAAAAAAAATATTTTAGGTTATTAAGACAAAATAACTAATTTTAAAATAATTTATGACTTTTAATAATTTTTAAAATTAAAACGACAAAAAAGAAAATAAAGTTATTTTTTCCCTATCCGAGAATCGAACTCCAATCCTCTGTGTGGAAGGCAAGAACGCTTACCACAAGACCACCTACTCTTTTATTTTTGTTGCTTTAATACTCGTAAATAAATTGACTTCATATAGTTTTTTTTCAATTAACAAATTATTTATAATTATAGACGAAATAAAAAAAGAAATGCTATTATTTTTTGATTCTACACAAGAATAACCTATTTAATGTATGTTTAATCTCAATAACTAAAAAATATACTGACAATCAGTTTGACAGAATTGTCACTTATTTAAAATTTTAAAAATAATAACAGTCGGTTGATCAAAATATGAACGGTGATTGGCGGATTTCATTTTTTGCAATGTTCTCACTGTCAAAGGTTTGGTTTTATATTAATTGTAGTTTTATATTTTAATAAAAATACTATTCTCACTTTTAATGAAGTTTTATTTTTTTATTATACTTCACATTGGCAATCAATAAATATTTTTTTTAACAACTACCTAACAACTATAAAGTCTCTAGTCTTCATAATGACAACCTAAAAATATTATCTTAACACCCTCTCTTAATTTTAGGTTGGGATGTAATGACAACATAAAAGTCAAAAAAAATGTCAATTTTAAAAACCATATTAAGCTGTGTTCATGAAAGTTTTTTTTAGTGTTTGAAATTTGACATTTCCTAGCAGTTTAGTGAGAATGTCCGCTATTTTATTTTCACTAGCACAATATTTTAGATTCACTGTTCCTTCATGGACTTTTTCACTTATGAAGTGATATCTAACGTCTATATGTTTACTGCGTTTATTGAATTGCCCATTTTTAATAATTGTTATGGCACTTTGATTGTCTACATTCAAATCAATCTTGATGTCGTCACCAGTAAGTTCGTCAATCAAGTGTTTAAGATAAATAAGTTCCTTTACACACTCAGCGGCTGATATGTACTCAGACTCCGTACTTGAAAGAGACACTATTGGTTGTTTCCTGGATCCCCATGAAATAGGTCCTTTACAAAAAAATATTATATATCCAGTGGTACTTTTGCGAGTGTCTATATCTCCTGCAAAGTCTGAATCACAGTAAGCAATTAACTTCTCACCTGCTTTTTCATAACTGATGCCATCACTTTGTGTATTTACTAAATAGCGAAATATACGTTTAATATTGATAATATCTTGTTCTGTAGGACTTTCTATTCTTCTACTACAAAAACTCACTGGGTAAGCTATATCTGGTCTAGTCTTATTTGTCAGGTATAATAGACTTCCCACAGCTTCTCGGTATGGATAATCAGTATGTGCAGTTTTAGTTTCTTCAAAGTTCTTAGTAACCATCGGAGTAGATACTGGTTTTGCATTTTGCATATTAAATTTTTCTAGTATGGACTTCACATAACATTCTTGTTTTAATAAAATTTTTCCTGGTTGTTTCTCAATTTTTATTCCTAAAAATTTATGTGGATTTTCAAATATTTTCATCTCGAATTCAGTTTTTAAATTTCTTAGTAGATTTTCCAAATCTGTTTCATTTTTACTTATAACAATTCCATCGTCAACGTATATAGCTAGGTATAAAGTTCGTCTTCATTTCTAAACATGCATTGATCGGATTTTAATGCAATTAGACCACAAGCCTTTAGATATTTTGTGAATCTTTCATTCCATTTCAATGGAGCTTGTTTCAAACCATATAATGACTTCTTTAGTAGACAAATCTTATTATCTTTATTTTTTAAGTTGTATCCTTCTGGTATATACATGAAAATTTCTTCACTTAAATCACCATACAAAAACGCCGTTTTAATATCAAATTGTGTGATTTTCATATTATTTTTAGTAGCTAATGCTAATAGAATTCGAATTGATGAACTATTTACTACAGGACTGAATGTTTCGTTATAATCTATTCCTCTTCGTTGCTCGAATCCTCTAATTACAAGCCTCGCTTTATATCTTCCATCGTCTTTGATTCGGAATACCCATTTGCTTTGAAGAATGTTTTTATCTTCTACTGAACTTTTATCTACATAGGTCCATGTTTCATTTTTCTTTAATGATTCTTTTTCCTCATTAATGGCTAGTTGCCACTTCTCTTTGTCTGATCCGCTTAGAGCTTCCTGGTGCGTCAGTAGTGCTTCACCTTCTAAATCGAGAAAATAATCATTTAATTTTTCTGGTATCTTAATTTTTCTTCCACTTCTAGTTACAATCTCTTTCTTTTCTTCTGTTAATACATTGTTTTTTATTTCTGCTGTTTGAATATTGGTCAATTCTTTTTCGTGATTATTAGTCAATTCTAGTTCGTGATTATTGATCAATTCTTGTTCGTCTTCTATTTCTAAATTGTTTTCGCTCTGTACGTCATTTTCTATATTTTTTGAGATTAATTTAATTGTTTCGTCTAGTGATAGTTTTTCTGGTTCTTTGAATTCCACATCTCTGTGAAGTTCTATTTTTCTATTTTTTTCATTCCATAAGCGATAACCATTTGGTGCATAACCCACGAATAAGTATTTTTTACTTCTTGGATCAAGTTTTTTTAAGTAACCTAACGTTTTCGCATATGCAATTGATCCAAAAATTTGTAAGTTTGATAAGTTTGGCTTTGTTCCATTCCAGCATTCTATAGGGGTTTTTTTTAATGTGTCAGTGGGGCTTCTATTTAATAAGTAAGTTGCTACATAAACAGCTTCACCCCAGAAACTGTTATTCATGTTTGCATCAAATATTAAGGCTCGAGCTTTTTCTAAAAGGGTTCTATTGAGGCGTTCTGCTTTGCCATTTAATTGAGGAGTATGAGGTATAGTAAAGTCTAATATAATGCCTTTGTTTTTACACCATTGCTTAAAGTTTGTATTTGCATATTCTCCCCCATTATCGCAACGTATTTTAGATACTTTTAAATTTTGATATGCCTCTGTTTCAGAAATATATTCTTTAAGATATATTGTAGCTTCATTTTTAAATTTTAATAAGTAAACTCTGGAATAGTGCGTATAATCATCTAGGACTGTTAGTATGTATTGTTTTGAATCCCAAGTTGATGGTTGTATGGGGCCGCAAATATCTGTATGTAGTATTTCTAAAGGTCTCCTTGCTCTTTGTCTCATAGTGTTAAATGGGTTTCTAGTCTGTCTTGCCTGTAAACAGACCTCACAGGTACCTCTTTTATCTTTACATTCAGATTTATTTAAAGTCATCCCTGTCGATAAGTCAATTAATTTGCACATATTTTTATAACCCAAATGTCCTAGTTTTCTGTGCCATTCTTCAATATTCCCCGTTTTATCTGTTAAATTTGCCTCTTCTGATTGATTTATTTTAACTACATATAATCCATTTTCTGTTTTGTTTCCTTCTAATACTTTTGTTGCATTTTTCTTTATTATAACTTTTTCTTTTGTAAAAATTACTTCACCATTATTCTCTGTTATGGCATTAACAGACAGTAAGTTTTTCCTAAGTTCTGGAATGAATAGAACGTCTTTTAGTATGCATGAAGTAGTTTCAATATTTCCTTTCCCTTCTGCTAACATCTTTTCATTTTTCTTTGCTACATGTATGCTTGAATGTGTTTTTTCTAAATTTATAAAAAGTTCTTTAGAATTTGCCATGTGAATTGAGCTACCAGAATCAACGACAAAATCATTAGTGTTACCGTCTTGGTTTTCTGTTAGGAATGATATTTTATTTTCTCTTGATTTTTCCTTTTCTCTAAAGAAGCAATTCTTTTCTGAATGATTCATTTTTTTACATATACTGCATACAGTTTTAGTTTTATTTGTTTTAAATGGTTTACTGCCTGAAGCTTTTGCATAACAATTTCTGGAATTGTGGCCTGATCTTCCACATATATCACACTTATTTTCATAATTTGTTTTTCTACAAAATTTAGTGTAATGGGTCGTAGTTTTGCAGTTTTGGCAGTATTTGGCACTGCTCTGAAATGCTACTTCATTTACATTTTCCTTTGCCTTATTTCTAGATTCTTCTAGTATTAATCTTGCTGTTAAATTATCTACAGTCTTTTCACTAGTTGCAGTTGAATCCCATGCAGTTACAAAGTTACTATATTGTTCAGGTAATGTGGAAAGGATTTTCGATATGACCATATTATCGTTTATTATTTCATTTAGTGACTTTAGTTTATGTATAATATTTTTTATTTTACTTATATGCAATCCCATATCTTCACTTTTTTCATATGAATAGTTATAAAATTGTTGAAGTAATGTACAAATTTGATCTGTTGTGCTTTTTTCAAATATGTTAGTAAGTTTTTCAAACATATCTTTAGAAGTTTCGCAATCTATAATGTGCATTATTAGTTTTTTATCAATTGTAGTTACGATCAGTT